GCCCCTGGTGTCTTTCCTCGATTAATCTATGAAGAGAATTTTTTTTTTCTTTTTCACTGTAGCAGGTGTTATTGAGTGTTTTGCATGTTTTTTTAAAATTTGTTCTAATTAGTTATATCTGACAGTAGAATGCACTCTGATACAACATATATAGATGGAGTATAATTTCTCATTTTGGTTGTACAAGATATAGAATCCTACTGGTGGTATAGTTATATATGTATACAGGGTAAGGATGTCTCATTCTAATATCCTTCCTACCCCCATAGCTCCTCCCATTCATTTACTCCCCTCTACATAAAGTAACTATTCTTTCATAGCCCCACACCCATACTGTGAATTAGCATCCACATATCAGAGAAAACATTCAGTCTTTGGTTTTTTGGGATTGGTATATTTCACTTAGCATGATACTCTCCAGCTCCATCCATTTAATGGCAAATGTCATAATTTCATTCTTCTTTAAATCTGAGTAATATTCCATTGCACATATATACCACATTTTATTTATCCATTCATATGTTGAATGTCACCCAGTTTCCTTTAATATTTTAGCTATTGTGAGTTGAGCTGCTATAAACATTGATATGGCTGCATTACTGTAGTATGCTTATTTTAAGTCCTTTGGATATAAATGAAGGAGTGAGATAGCTGGGTCAAATGGTGTTCTATTCTAAGTTTTCTGAGGAATCTCCATACTGCTTTCCATAATGGTTGTGACCATTTGTAGTCCCACCAGAAATGTATAAGTGTACTGTTTCCCCCACATCCTCATCAACATTTATTGTTGCTTGTATTCTTGATAATTACCAATCTGAATGGGGTGAGATGAAATCTTAGAGTAGTTTTGATTTGCATTTCTCTAGTTGCTAGAGATGTTGAACATTTTCTCATATATTTGTTGATTGGTTGTGTTTCTTCTTTTGTGAAGGGTCTGTTCATTTCCTTAGCCCATTTTTTAATTGTTTTTTCTTTTTTTGGTGTTAAGTTTTTTGAGTTCTTTATATATCTTGGAGATTAATGCCCTATCTGGGGTGCATGTAGTAAAGATTTTCTCCCATTATGTAGGCTCTCTCTTCATGTTATTGATTGTTTCCTTTGCTGAGAAGAAAGCTTTTTAGTTTGAATACATCCCATTTATTGATTCTCGATTTTACTTCTTGCGCTTTCGTAGTCTTATTAAGAAAGTCACTTCCTAAGCCCACATGGTAGAGATTTAGGCCTAGTTTCTCTTCTATTAGGTTCAGGGTCTCTATTCGTAGTGCCTAAGTCTTTGATCACATTGAGGTGAGTTTTGTGCAGGGTGAGAGGAGTTTAATTACTTTTTGTTACACCAATTTTCCTATCACCATTTGGTAGATAGGCTTTTTTTTTTCTACAGTGACGGTTTTTGGTGACTTTTTCTAGCATGAGATAACTGTATTTAATTGGGTTTGTCTCTGGGTCTTCTCTTCTGTACCACTGGTCTAACTGTCTGTTTTGGTGCCAATTCCATGCTGTTTTTGTTACTATTGTTCTGTGGTATAGTTTAAGTTCTGGTATTGTTATGCCTCCTGCTTTACTTTTCTTGCTAGGATTTCTTTGGCTATTCTAGGTCTCTTATATTTCCAAATGAATTTTATATTGCTTTTTATGAAGATAATTTTAAAGGCAATTCTGTTTAGGGTTAAAAGAACAAAGGAAGGGCTACAGAGAAAGTCTCTTTAGAGAAAAGAGTAAATCTCCTTTATCTGTGAAATCCATATCAATGGATTCAAAGGATTGTGAATCAATAGTGTTTGAAAAACTTTATGATGATACCTAACATGTACAGACCTTTTTTCTTGTCATTGTTCCCTATAAAATATAGCACAAGAACTATTTACACAGAATTTACTTTGTACTAGGTAAGTATTATAAGAAATCTAGGGATAATTTAAAGTATGCAGGAGAATGTGTACAGTTTATATTGGAATAACATATCAATTTATATAAGGGGCTTAAACATCTATTTGGTATTTTTGGAAGGTCATAAAATGAGCTCCCAATGGATACCAAAAGACAACTGCATATCAGTAATCATAAACAAAGCATTGGTAGAAATACTGATGGTAAAAAACACTGTGATGAAGTTTCAGATTGACATTTGGAAATGCTATTGAGAGCTAGATTTTAAAAAGGCCATCTTTTATATAAATTGGAAGAGAATTTGGAAGAAATGTTTTATATCATTGTGTTTTTGTGCAAGGTGGTACTAGTAAGTGACAAAATTGTTTATTTAGATGAGGAGAGTTCTAAGAAAAATATTGAAGGAGTGACTTGATTCTTTCTGACAGCTTATATTAATACGCAAAGGGGAAAAAAGAAGGGTTAATTGTTATGTTAAAAGAACACAGAATTTAAAAGATTTGAAAAATTCCCATCCACCTTAACAACAGAGAAAGTGTTCAGAAGTGTACACTAAGGATGTGGTGCATACACAACTTGGTAAGGAAAATTAGTGTGAGTGGGAACAACAGACTTAATCTCAACAAAATCCAGAAGTAGAGATGGAATTTAAAACTGGAAACACTGTCAGCTGAGACTAAAATGTATAGAGATGAAGGAACAGGATAAAGGAAGAGAGGGTACCTCAATGAGCTTAATAGTAATGGTGATACCCAGTGGGTCTGGAAGTCAGAAAATTGAGCCCAAGAGGATTATTTCAACCTTTAAGATCACATGCAGTTTGGTGTTTTAGGCATTGGACTTCCAGGGTGAAGTCACCACTTACTTCATTTCTGTTTCTTCCTTTTGAAAAGGGAAAGTATATACAGTATCTAACCTGCCATTATATTTTGGAAGCATACAACTTGTTTGGTTTCACAGGTTTACAATGGGGATTAATCTTACTTCAGGGTGAATTGTATCTTGAACCTCATCCTTATGTGATTTATATGATATTTACATGAGATTCTTGGCTTTAGACTTTACTATTGATATTGAAATTAGTTAAAATTGGGGGGCTTATTAAGTGCGAGTATAACTAAATTAAAAAAGAGAAAATTGAAGGGACAGAAAGATAAAATTCCAGTGAGAGAACATAGTGGGATAAAAAGGTGTGAGAGGTAAGACAATGGAGAGGAATCTTAGATTTGGAAGTGTATGCTACACAGGGCTAAGAAATCTGAACCACAGGGCCTGAAGAAGATTTCTTGATGTCTTTATCTCTAGGACAATGTGTTAGTCATGGTTTTCTAGAGGAACAGAATCAACAGGAAGTATGATTATAAAAGGGGGATTTATCAGGTTGGCTTATGCAGCCAGAAGCTGGATAGACCACAGTGGCCATCTGCAGGCTGGAGAACTGGAAGAACAAGTAACTGCACAGTCCAAGAAGCTGAAGCCCCAGAACAAGAGGGATCAGCAGTACTACCCTAGTCCAAGACTGAAGGCTTCCAGAGAACCACTGGCAGAGTCTACTTTGTAAGAGTGAAGAAATGAGAGTCTTATATCCTCAGAGGATAACAGCATCAATCAAGAACCCATTCAAGAAGAATCAAGCTTGCATCTGCTGGGGCTTCTGGTTCTTCCAACATTTATTCTATCCAAGCCATCATCCTATTTGACTGTGCTGCAGATGCTTAGGGATGGTCTCCATTTCAGTTGGCTATCCCACATGCCAATCATTTCTAGACACACCCTCATTAACACACCCATAAACCTCCTAATCATGGGCATCTCTTAATGCAATCAAGTTGACAATTCAAAATAACCATTACAGACAATAACTGGCTCAGTATTTAAATTCTAAGCACAATTTATATTAACTACATATTTTTAATTTTGCAGTTTAGAGAAGAATTATGAATATTTACCAAAAACATTAAATAATTTTTGACATAAAATAAATTTTGACAATATATTTTGCCCAGTATGTCTTTATAATTGTTTAAAGAATTATTTTTTAAAAACTGACAAAAAAGACATACTAGGAACAATATCCAAATTATTTTGCTATACTGTGTGCATGCACAAATATATAACAATGAATCCCAGTATAATACAACTGTAATACACCAATAAAATATAGAAAAAATTAAATATGAACTATTCTGCACAAAAATACTTTAGGGTTGTTGATATATAATAAATATATTGTGCATAAAGAAGAACATAAATTCAGTGATTTTAATGCTGTAAACTGAGTTTTTGTGCATCCTCCAAACTCATCATTTTATCCCAACCACCAATGTAATGATATTAGCAGGTGGAGATTTGGGTAGGTAATTAGCTCATGAAGCTAGAGTCCCCATGAATAGGATTAGAACACTTATAAGAACAGACAGAAGAACATGTTCTATTGCTCCCTGCTCTTAAACATGTAAGGTTCGGAAAAAAGAGGGCATTTAAAAACCAGGAAGCAGGTATTCACTAGACACTATCTGCCATTGTCTTGATCTTGTGCTTGTCAGCCTTGAGAATAGTAAGAAATAAATTTGTGTTCTTTAAACCACTGAGTATATGATATTCTATTATAATATTCTTATTTGCTTTAAATAGTACTATAGAAAAATATTTAAAGATGATGTAAGAGTGGCTTTCAAAAAGACCTATTCATGCTTATGTTAATTCAACCCTTGTAAACTGGAATCCTTCAAGCATTCTAAGATGTATGGTCATCTTGTACTTGAGATCCTTAGATTTTAACTAATTATTGTGGGATTATTCATATTTATTCATGTATCCAGAGAATAGTATATTGAATTAATATTTGTTCATCATCCACATCACTTTTATTGCACTTCTTTTTCCCTCTAATTCACCAACCTCCATACACTGTTGTTTTTGTTTTGTTTTGTTTACAGGTCTGCAGTTGTGATGGTTCAACCCTGATAATTCCTTGATGACCAACACAGTGCAATGACCATTTCAGATGAAGGAGCACACCAACTGCAAATTCAATCTTGTTTTTATCTCATTAGGACCAATAACTCTGTAATAGTGATTTCTTAATCACTAGAATTTAAGACTCATCAAATATGAAGATATTTTTCTTGCTACATTGGCTTGGGGTATTTCAGTTCTATCCTGGATTCACCCAGGCTGAGCACCCCCAATATCACAGCCCCCCAGAGGTAGTGATTCCTTTGAAGGTAACTGGCACTACTAAAGGATTGAAGCATGCAGGTTGGCTCTCTTATAGCCTGCATTTTGGGAGCCAGAGACACATTATCCATATCAAGGCCAAGAAACACTTGCTGTCCAAACACCTACCAGTGTTCACCTACACAGCCCAAGGTTCTCTATTTGAGGATCAACCTTTTATCCAGAATGACTGCTATTATCATGGTTATGTGGAGGGGGACCCAGAATCCCTGGTTTCCCTCAGTGCTTGTTCTGGAGGCTTTCAAGGAATGTTACAGATAAACAACATTGCTTATGAAATCATGCCCAAGGAGTTTTCTACCTCATTTGAACATCTGGTTTATAAAATGGACAATGAGGAGACAGAATTCCTAACAAGAAGATCTGGCTTTATGCAAGATGAAATAGCATGCAAACTAGACTTTCAAGAGATTGATAATTTCACTGTGAAGCAGAATTCTTATGTGAGATGGTGGACTGATGTGTGGTATGTTAGATTAGCAGTGGTAGTGGATCATACCTTATACCTTCATTTTCAAAGTAATATATCCAAGATACAGGAGCAAATATTTATTACTACAAATGTAGTGGATTCCATTTATGATGATATAGATGTTAATGTATTATTACTTGGTATTGAGGTCTGGACTGAAGTAAACTATATTGTAGTAGATGACATACAGAAATCTCTGTCAGCATTTAGTCAATGGAAGGCAAAAAGCCTTTCTCCTCATCTATCACATGATGCTGTGCATCTTTACATAAATTCAAGATTAGGTGGACAACCTGGTAAAGCCTACATGCATGGTATATGTACAAAGAGATACAACTGTATAATTGCTACTCACCTAAACAAATCCTTGAATGAGTTTGCAATCAATGCAGCCCATGAGCTAGGTCATCTTTTAGGTATGTTTCATGATGCTGATATATGTGAATGTGGGCAAAAGTCATGTATAATGGGTCAGGATAAGGATTTTGCAACAAAGTTCAGCAACTGCAGTTATTCTGAGTTTTGGAAAATGACTGTACAAAACCAAAACTGTGCACGCAACTATGTTCAGACAAAAGATATGTCGAAGCGCTGTGGGAATGGAATTGTTGAAGAAGAGGAGGAGTGTGACTGTGGACCTTTACAATATTGTGCAAAAGATGCCTGCTGTCTCTCAAACTGTACTCTGAGTAAGGGGTCTACTTGTGCTTTTGGACTTTGTTGCAAAGACTGCATGTTCTTGCCTGCAGGTGAAGTGTGTAGAAAACAGGTCAATGAATGTGATCTTCCAGAGTGGTGCAATGGGACATCCCATAAATGTCCAGAGGATGTACATATGCAAGACGGAAATCTCTGTAACGACAGGGCCTACTGTCATGATAAAAGATGCAATGACCGCAATAAACAGTGCAAGGATATTTTTGGCCACACAGCAACGAATGCAAATTTGAATTGTTATGAGAAAATGAATACTCGAGGTGACCGCTTTGGTCACTGTGGCACGCATCGATCTACATACATAAAATGTAACATTCCAGACATCCTGTGTGGGAGACTTCAGTGTGAGAATGTGACTCTAATTCCCTCTTTGGGAGACCATTCTAGTGTGCACAGTACTCAGTTCAATGGCATCACCTGCTGGGGAACTGACTTCCATTTGGGGATGTCCATACCTGATATTGGTGAAGTGAAAGATGGCACAGAATGTGGTCCAGAACGTATCTGCTTGCATAGAAAGTGTGTCCCTATGTCTCATTTAAAAAGTGATTGTTCGGTTAAGACCTGTAACATGAGGGGTATCTGCAATAGTAAACATCATTGCCATTGCAATGATAACTGGGCCCCACCTGACTGCAAGGAAGAGGGTAGTGGAGGCAGTGTTGATAGTGGCCCACCCCCTAAGAGATAGGAAGGAAAATGTATTCACCCATCAAAATGGGACATCATTCTCTTGTGACCTTTTCTTATGTTTTACTTTTTGGTTTTATTACATACAAAAATATAAAAGAAAAAAGGGAAAAAATATCCAGTCTTATGAAACAACAAAGTATTCAGACTCAACAATAAGAAGAAAAACAAATCTTGAGATTAAAATTGAAAAGAATTTACAAAATGTTCAGACTCGATATCAGAAATAAAAATGAAGTGTTGAAATTAAAAATAAGAGACATAAAATGTTAACAGTCAATATGTGAAAGAAAAAAAATCATTCTTAATCTGGGAAAAAAATCAGTACTGATTTCAAGAAAAATCATCCAGATGGTAATAAAATTGCTGAAGAACTGAAGTTTAGTGTCCTGACAATATAAATATTAACATATATCTTGGGGAAACTTTGGGATGCATTCTCTTTCAGAATAATAGGCATTATTTATTAGATTTGTAATTTGTAGAATGTTCCTACTCTTCATCATTTTAAGAATGTTGAAGTTTTAGTTTTCCTGAAATTGATCTTTTCGTAAGTTTTTAATTAAGTTCTCTCTCATGGGATCATGTGTGTTTTTAAAAATTATATCTTTCAATTCTAAAACTCTACCCTATTTTTATTTTACTTTGGAAAATGACTTTTGCTGTACCAACAGTGTCTGCTAATAGGAATAACAAGGTAGAAATCCTAAAACTGGATATCTGATCATTTCCAGTTGAGGTCAGTTTTAATTTTATAACAGACTGTAGACTGAACATAGTAGTTGGTTTCAGTCCAAACCTTTATCTATTTTTTTTTCTCCTTAGTCACTACCAGAAACAACCTTATTGACAGCCTCATAGATACCCTCATAGTCGTCAGATGTATTTACCTTACAGTTTGAGTCCCTCACAGCTCTGAGTCCTCAACCAGGATCCTGAGTTTCTAGCACCAACAGCTTAACAGTACCTATTTTTCAGAGTTCTGTGTCATAGACATTATGGAGTGGTTCTAGAGTCAGCTGGGTCCAAATAAACCAACTTCTTCTTCTTTTCAAGTCAGCCCCATGAAGGAATTCTATCTCCAGCAGTTACGACTGTAGTAGTTAAGAGTAGCAAATGTCATCTGCAATTTTTCTATCCTTCAACATCTTTTCCCTATTTTATTGCATTTATTTTTCTCGCTTTAAAATTATGGATCCGGGTCTCCTTTCCTGACCAAAGCACAACTCTTACTGTACAAATTCTGCTAATATGTAGGAACTAGAAGTCTTTAAGCATCAAACTTTTGAATTTTAACACTGCTATTCACCATCTTGGTTAAAGTACTAAATTATAGATAATTTTCTTTAAAATAAGAATAGGGAGGATGACAATAACACTTGTCACTCAACTTCTGGGTTCCTTTGGTTATGAAATGAGACACAGAAGATGCTCTCTCATATCTAGGTGTAGGGTATGGTGAGGCTTGGCAGGCAAATTATTACTCTAGGATAAATCTATATAATAGCAAATACATTTTTAAAACTACTGCTGTAAAGGAGTCAGAAAGTTGTGGAGAAAATGAAAAATAGGAGAACTTAAAATAATAGAGAAGGAAACAATCCTGAATTTTGGTCTTCTTTTCCCCACTAGAAATCTTGATGATTCTGGATATAAATTAAGGATCAGACTTGGCCCATCCAGCTAGAGGGTCTCTACTGAGGAAAGAGGAACCTGAAAACCTCTATGTACCTGGAAGAGACTAGTTTAAAAAGTTAAAAATATAAAGGTTTCAAATCCAATCAATTTTTCTCACATCATATTTTCTGAGTTTAGGTTCTCTGTGGGTGGCTAAAGGGAAAGACTTAGGCTTCAAACTGGTTCTTTAGTTTCCTAAAGAACTAAGAAAAGCTTGATTCTAGCACATGTACTATTTCCACTCTAAGTCCCTCCAAAGTTTTTGATGTGCATGGGTAACATGCTAGAAAATTAGTTTTGAAACTTCAATCTTCAGAATTTTATTGCCTGTTGTATTTCAGTGCTAAGGAAATAGAGGAATTGGTGTTTTTCATTAAAACCCTAGAAGGGTACATGTATCTTACTAAAAATATACTATTCTCTAACCTATCACAATGTGAAAGAAGATAGTTTCATTTCAGCAAATTTTTAAATCTATGCAAAATACCAAATGTATATTCAAAAGATAAAATATTTATAAAAAGAAATCAGTGACCCAGTAGTACTATAGACTTGAGAGTGAAGTATACTAAATTAGTTAACTGAAAAACGTCAGTTAAAAATTCTTATACATATAGAAATTATGGAGAAAAAAAATCTTCAAAAATAAGGTAGTAGTTTGAATATTATATAAAACATAACAGAGTCTAACATTTTAAAACTAATCTCCCAGTTCAGTAGGAGAAAAAAAAATAAATAGAAATAATATTCAAAGATTTAATTGCTGTGAATTTCTCAAAAGTATGGAAAGATATCATACTGTTATTTAAGCAAACTCAGTGAATTCTAAGCAAGATAAAAGAAACACCTATCTAGACATTTCATACTTACACTGTTGAAATGCAGAGCCATATGGAGATCCAAATAGCAGCTAGATACAAAAAGCCATATTTTAAAAGGATCGACAATAGACTGTTATTTTTACAAAATAACAAAAGTAGGAGACAATGCAATAACATTTTTTATTCCGTATTTATAACTACCAACTTAGTGTTCTTTTGTGGTGTAAATAATTTATTCATGTTCAACATAAGGAAAACAAAATTTTCCTTAGGCATACAAATCCTCCTTGGATAGCACTCAAATAAATACTAATGCTACTTTTTAGCCAGGAAGAGTATAATATCAGAAAGAAAGAGGAGTGGGTATGATATGCAGGTGGGTATGAAGTACACAAGAATGGGAGTAAACAGATGATGAGCAAGGAGAATCAGTTTAATTGAACAAAACAATACCAATAATGTCTCGTGGATTATAAAATGTATACAGAACAAAAATCAAACCCACTTTACAAAAGCTATGGATTCATGAAATAGAATTTAAAAGTTTTAAGTTTCTGAGAGTATTATAAATGATAAATTAATCATATCTGACTATATTGAGAATAATATTATGATCTCCAGGGTAACAACTAAAACAATAATGACAAAATAATATAAGGAATTTAGTGAATACAAAGTTATAGTAAACAATATTTGATTACTACAAATATAGTCAAAATTGAGGAAAATAAACACAATACATATATAAAAAGGAAATGTAAATAGATTATAGTATACACAGGACCTTAGTAAAACTGATATATTATATAAATAAGATTGAAATAAGTCAGAATGAGTAAAGTATAAAATACAGCATTATTCTGCTTATTAGAAACACAACTTAAAAATAAAAACACAGAGTATACAAAAGCTTGGAAATTTTCATATCATGTTAATATTAACCAAAAAAAGTTGGTGTCATCCTACTAGTAGGATGAGGACTTTAAGACATGACACATGACTAGAAGTAGTATATTTTGCAATGATCAAAGTCTAATCACATTTAAGATATGACAGTCCTGAATCTGTATGCAGTCCCTTCAGTAATTTCAAAAGTATAGGTAAAATAATGAAATAGACAAATCCATGACCATTCAGAGGGGGACTTGAACTGTGCTCTCTCAATAGTGATAGGACACTAAATCACACAATACAAAATCTTCAACACATAATTAACAAACAATATAATAGATATAAAAGAGAGAGAGTAATATACATATAATTGACAAATTCACTTTGGTTCTTCTGCATGTGAACTAGTACTAAACTCAACCACATGGTGGGCCATAGGGAAATCTTAAAAAACAAACAAACAAACAAACAAAAACTTTCAGACTTTAAATTTTAAAAATGATTTATTCTACCCTGGATAGAATCATGGTACAAGTTGATAGCACTGAACTTATCTACAGAAACTCCGTTGCTTGGGAATAAAACAGTAAATTTCAAAATAATCTCTGTGTCAAAGCTGAATCAAATGGAATTTAGAAGAATTTTAAACTAAAATACAAATAACTACAAGTTCCTTGAGATTGAGCTAATGTAGCTGTTTAAGAAAATAGTATACTCTTCTATAATTATGATAAAACAAAGGAAGTATCATGATGAACAAGATTTGGGTATGGAAGGAATGTTGCAATTGTCAAACTCTGAAATCAAAATAACACCATTGGATACAGGTTGAATGTGTCCTCCAAGGATTCCAGTGTTGAAATTTAATCCCTATTGTAAGGTATTAAGAGGGCTGAAAATTAATTTAACTATAATGTTTAGAAGTGGGGCCTTTCAAAGTGATTAAGATTAAGATTAAGATTAAAGTTATCAGGCTGGAGCCCCCATGGTTAAATACTGGGGCTTTATAATAATAGGGAGACAGTATATAAAAGTGTACCTTGTCTCTTCCCATGTGATGTCCTATACCTCAGGACTGTGCCAGCAAGGTGATCATCATCATGTGTGAGCTCTTGAACTTCCAAAACTATAAGACAAATAAGCCTCTTTTCTTTATAGCTATCCAGTTGTAGGTAGCTTGTTACAGTAATGCAAAATGGACTAGTACAGGGCTCAGGACTCTAATGGATAAAGTAGATGGCCTGCAAGAACAGACAGGTAGGGCTGGGGTTGTAGCTCAGTGTACAGTACTTGCCTAGCACATGTGAGCCACTGGGTTTGATCCTTAGCACCACATAAAGTAAATAAATAAAGTAAAGGTATAAAAAAATCTCACATTAAAAAATAAAAAAGAATATACAGGTAACAGAAGCAAAGAAATCGACTATAAGAAGGAAACAAGAAGTTCTAGAATCAAAAATATTAGAAATGAAGAATGCTGTGATGGGCTTATTGACAGATAGAAAGTTGCTGAAAAAAAAGAAGCTCTGTGACTGAGGATATCTGTATAGAAATTACCAAAGGAAAAACACATTAAAGGGAGAAAAAAATGTCTGAAAGAGAAAATCAGTTT